AAGAGGTAAAGCGGTAGTTGAGGCTTGATTGTGTTTGTAGTATTGAGGTAAGTGTTTGGTCTAACCTTAGCTTGAGGGAATAAGAGTTGTGGTCTTATTTGCTATGTGTTACATGTTGAGTACGGCGTATAGGTGTGGTGACGGGTATTTATAAGTTGGTGTCAAGAATGCCCGTGAGTCTTATACTATGATTGTTGCGACTCCGTTATGTATTGTCCATGCTAAATATAATGATTATCAATGTTTAACATGGCTTATGGAATTGTTCTTGGTAATTGAACATTGTAGAGCATTGGATCAAGTTGAGAATTATGTTGCAAAGTGATTGTGGAAACAAGAAGAGATTTATGAGATTGTTTTCCCTTGCCGGGATATTCTTGTTATACTATTGTTCCCTTGCCAGGATTCTATTGTGGTTTTATTGATTCCCTTGCCCGAATTGCTTGTGATTGTTGCTTGGGTAAGGAAGAGTAGAAAGCACGAAGGGTGATGCCGTGCGTGATATTTGTGAGTGAGAGTTAATGCACGAAGGGTGATGTCGTGCCGATATTGTGAATGTAAAAACACGAAGAGTGATGTCGTGCCATGATATGAGTGATAATACACCAAACATAATGTCGTGCCATGATTATGTGAGGTAAAAGCACAAAGGGTGATGTCGTGCCAAATCTATTGTTCTTATGGTGAGAACGAGAGTAAAAACACGAAGGGTGATGCCATGCACTTGTTACTGTTTTTCCTTATTCTTGCTCATAATTGAATTATGGTGTTCTTTGTGCTTCTCTACTGAAATTCTGTTAGTACTTGGTATCCCCCGCAACATGTTCCCTTTTCCCATCTTTAACTGCTAGTTTCTGTTGTTATTATTTGTTGTATATGATATAACTGCACAAGTTTATTTGGTAGTCTTGTCCTATCCTCGTCACTAATTCGCCGAGATTAGGCTCGACACTTACCAGCCCATGGAGTCGGTTGTGCTGATACTACACTCTGCACTGTGTGCAGATCCTGGTTCTAGAGCATTTGGACCATAGAGAGGTTGTTGCCTTCAGTCCAGCGGAGACCCGAGGTAGTCCCGCAGACGTCCGCAGACCTTGGCATCCCCTTTTATCCTTTCCATTCTGTTTTTATGTATTTCAAAGACATATTTGTATTTTCCATTCAGACCACTATTTGTAGTATTCGTAGATGGTCCATGACATTGTGACACCAATTCTGGGTAGAGTTGTATATTGGATTTTGTACTAGTATCTAGTTAAATTATCATATTTCGTCTTCCACATTTCTTTTATTATTATGGTTATTTCGACGTCGATCACATGTTAATTTGAAATTGTTAAAAGATTAAGGAAAAAGGGTAACAAAATCTGTAACACTCGTCTTGCCTAGCTTTCACGAGTAGGCGCCATCACGACTTCCAAAGGTGGGAAAACCGGGTAGTGACAAGTTGGTTTCAGAGATCTAGGTTGCTTAGGTCTCACAATTCACGGACAAGCTTAGTAGAGTCTGGGGGATCGTTACAGAGACGTCTGTATTTATCCCCAGAGGCTACAGAGTTAGGAAAAACATCACATCTATTCTTTCTTGTCGCGTGACTTGATTTCTCAATGCTAATTGAACTTCCATTCTGTTCTTTTGTAGATGGTGAGAACACGTACTGCTTCATCAGCTGACCAGCAGCCTACGCCCTCAGTAGCAGCTCCTGCGAAGGGCAGAGGCCGAGGCCGTGCTAGGGCCCGAGGTAGAGGTAGAGCTCAACCCAGAGCTCGAGCAGCAGCATCAGCGGCGGAGCCTCAGATTGAGTTTGACGATAAGGTTCCAGCCCAGACAATTCCAGTAAGACCACCTCAGGTCCCAGAGGGGTTCATCGCCACCCTGGTACTTCAGGATGCTCTGGTCCATCTAGTGGGCCTTATGGAGAGTGTCGCCCAGGCAGACTTGCTTCTTGTAGCACCAACCGTCTCTCAGGCTGGGGGAGGAGTATAGACTCTCGCTACTCGCACTCCGGAGTAGATGGCTCCCCAGTTTCAGACTCTAGTAGCTCAGCCAGTTGGGGTAGTTCAGTCGGGTGTTGTGGCACAGACCGGTGAGGGGCCAACTATGTCTGTTGATTCCTTGTGGAGATTGGACATGTTCACCAAGCTTTTTACTACCACCTTTGGTGGTACATCTTCTGAGGATACCAAGGATTATTTGGACAACTGTCATGAGGTTCTATGGAACATGGGGATATTGGAGACCAATGGGGTCGACTTTGCTGCTTTTTGTCTGTTTGGATCCGCCATGACTTGGTAGCGAGATTATTGTTTGGCTAGACCAACTGGGTCACTGTCTTTGACTTCGATTAGTTCTCTCAGCTATTTTTGGAGAAGTTTCTTCCTATCACTCAGAGGGAGAACTATTTGAGGTAGTTTGAGCGTCTCCAGCAGGGTTCTATAACTGTCACTCAGTATGAGACCAGATTTATTGACTTGGCCCGTCATGCTCTTCTTATACTTCCCACTAAGAGAGAGAGAGAGAGTGAGGAGGTTTATTGAGGGACTCGTTCAGCCTATTTGGTTGCAAATGGCTAAGGAGACGGGGAACGAGATTTCTTTTCAGGATGCGGCCAATGTGGCCAAGAGAGTTGAGATGGTTCTATCACAGGGGAGTAGTCAGGGGTCTAACAAGAGGCCTCGTCATTCGGGCAGGTTCAGTGGTGCCTCGTCTGGAGGCAGGGATTCTTTTGGTAGGGGCCATCCTTCCAGGCTGTTTCATTTAGGACTATAGGCTTATCACGGTGCTCCAGGTGGCCATGGTTCTCATATGCAGTTCAGCTGCCCTATAGTGCATTGCCAGCTCCTATCAGTGCACCTCTGGTCCAGAGTTTTTAGGGTCATCAGTCCCACCAGCCGAGGGCTTGTTATACTTGTAGCGACACGAGGCATATTGCTAGATTTTGCCCTCGAGCACCGAGCAACTCTCAGCATCAAGGTTACAGTGCCATGGTTCAGGCACCGAGTGCTCCACCGCCCGCTCAGCCAGCTAGAGGTGGAGGTAGAGGTGGTAGATGTGGAGGTAGAGGTATTAAAGGTGGAGGTCAGGTCGCTAGAGGTGGAGGCCAGCCAGCAGGAGGCCGTCCCAGAGATGTAGTTCAGAGAGATGGGCCCCAGCCCCGATGTTATGCTCTTCCAGCCAGGCCTGGGGCTGAGACCTCCGATGCGGTTATCACAGGTACTGTTTTGGTTTGTAGTAGAGATGCTTCAGTTCTATTTGATCCAGGATCTACATACTCATATGTGTCATCTTATTTTGCACTGTATTTTGTCATGCCTAGTGATTCCTTGAGTGCTCCTTGTCACACCCCTTTTTACCCCTCCAAAAGATAATGTGGGTTATGGATTGTGGGTTAAATAGTTTTTCCAATTAAAGTGACAATTTTGAAATAGGGATTATTTTATTTATAGAGTCGCCACTTGGAATTGATTTTTGTCAGTGTTCCAAGTCACCTTTTATTTGAATCCCAATTCAAAGGAAGGTTTGATTCTTTTACTATTGGTCCGCGAAAACAAAGTCCGGATAAGGAATTCTGTTGACCGGGGAGAAGGTGTAAGTCATTCCCCGAGTCCCGTGGTTCTAGCACGGTCGCTTTATTGACTACATTTGGCTTGAATTAAACTTGGATAAACGGTGATTTATTTTGATTTTTATGCTTTTCTTATGTCCGCTTTTACTTATTTGATAAAATAATAATAATAATAAAATGTCATAATCACACTACGCTAACGAATGTGTAATCTAGACAAAATTTATTGGCTTAGTCATAACAGCACTACGCAAGCGAATCCACAATCATGACAAAGAATTATTAACACGTTATTACTTTCAGAAAAATTACTATATTTGTGCATTGAAAAAATTATTTATTAAGAGTTACTATCGCGCTACGCAAGCGAATCCGCGAGTTTAGCAAAGAGTTTATTAAATTAGAAAATACTTAAAGCTAGTAAAAATAGTATGAGATTACTGAATTAAAATATTAAGAGTTAGTATCACGCTACGCAAGCGAGTCTGTGAAATAATAATAATAAAAAGTTAAAACGGACCTACTGGTTGCCTAGCGTTGAAATTAATTAAAGGTACTTGAGTTATTGGATTATTATTACACATCATGAAAATTAACTAATTCTTAATAAGTCTATTCAACTAATCTAGTAAGTATTATTTTGAAGATAGATCATATTATTTATTGAGAAAGTGGGCCAATTTGCTTACTTAGTTATGGTATTGGGCCAACATCTATGAAATAAATGGACAAAATATTTATAGACTTCTTAAAAGCATTGGGCCTATTGGNGTTGCCTAGCGTTTAAATTAATTAAAGGTACTTAAGTTATTGGATTATTATTACACATCATGAAAATTAACTAATTCTTAATAAGTCTATTCAACTAATCTAGTAAGTATTATTTTGAAGATAGATCATATTATTTATTGAGAAAGTGGGCCAATTTGCTTACTTAGTTATGGTATTGGGCCAACATCTATGAAATAAATGGACAAAATATTTATAGACTTCTTAAAAGCATTGGGCCTATTGGACAGAATCTGCCTTGGCCAATTATTGGGCTCCGAAATGGGCACAAGCTGAAAGCCCAATAGATTTCAAATGCTGGTTTACTATGACAGCCCACCTGGGCTAAATTACGAGTCTGGACTCTTTTGCTCTAAGCCATTAACCTTTATTTTTAACTAGCAATTTCAAAACCTATTTAGGATCTAGCCACTTTCTACCAAAAAAAATAAAAATAAAAAAAAATCTAAAATCCTAGCAGAGATGGTCACATATAAAATCTCTAAAAATAAATAAAGGTTTCAAGCATGTCTCTTTTGTTATTTTTCATAAACTGGCCAGAACTGCAAAGGTGCAAAAAGAGTCTTTAAGCACATTGCAACCTACTTGAAACATCTCAATTTTATATGCATCAATACTATAATAGATAGTAAAGACAAATAACACATGAATAAAAAAGTGTTTGATCAACCAAGGATTTATTTTACATATGAACTACAACAAGATATATTTAAACAATAAAGAAATTTAGCTAAGCACTCATTTATGTAAATGGACATGCTCCCAACAATCAAGATGAGTTCAAATCTTCTTGTTAATGTGAAAACATCTGCAACATAAGATTAAAGAGTTAACTGAGTCTCAGAATAATAAATACAGCAACAAAGAATGGAAGCTCAGCAACTAAAGCAGCATAAAAATAGCAACACAACAGCAACAAAACCAACAACAAATCCGTGTTAAAACAACTCGAAAACTCAGAGAAGAAACCCAGAAGCAAACTCTAAAGAGGACTTATACTTTTCTAAAAAAAAGGTTTGCACTTTAAGATTCACTTTTAAGACTTACAATTTCAGCTTACTAAAGGATGCTTCAGCTGCTAATTATTTTTTTGTTGTTGTATGTTCAAAAGCAGAAAACGATCACCTCCAAAATGTGATGGAGTCCCCTTATATATCAAAACAACCAGCTATTTCAAAAAATTAAAAATCAATCTTTTTGACAGATTTTTCTACAAAATCTGCTCTTAAATTCAAAAAGCAAGACTTTCTAGTTCAAATCTTGTCAAGTATTTCAAACAAAATCTGCTCTCTACTATTCAAAGATAGACTTTATTCAAATAATGTCCAAAGGTCTACATTTTCTTACCAAACAATTTGACTTTTGGGTATTGTACTCAAAGGGTCTTGAAGCAGTAAACAAACAACCAAACTAGTACCATATACTCTTAAGTATTTTTCATTACCTTACTTTTATCAATACAAAACTATTTTACTACTTCAACAGGTGCAAAAATAGAAAATTTAACATTTCAAACTTCAAAAACTAATGCTAAAATAATTAATAATAGACAAAAAAAAATCTGAAAAAAAAAATCAACCATGAAAAAGAATAGTATTTTACCATTTTACACATCAAAAGGCCGAAAAATGGTGGTATGCCAAAGAGGGTGTTCCAGGAGGTCGCCAGAATTAGGCCGGATTTTGGTCGCCGGATTTTTGGGGTAGAATTGACATCAATAGCTAGGTCTTGAGGAGCTCTATCCATTGATGTAGGTATTTTGAGGTGGTAGTGGTTGGAGCTTCAAGAATTTGGGCAAAAAAGTGACATTCAAGGAGTTTGAGGGATTTTTTTAGGATTTGGTTTGGAGATATGGAAAGAGGAAGTTGTGGAGATTACGTGGCGTGAATTTGGAGGTGTTTGGAGGTGGTCCGCCGGTGGCGGCGATTTCCAGCAGGCGGCGGTGGGCAGAGCTGGGGTGGCGTAGAGAGAGTGAAGAGAGAGAGAAGAGAGAAGAAGGAGAGGGAAAGAAGAGAGAGGAAATAAGGGGGAAATAGGGCAAATTTTTGGGGATTTTAGGCGTTATATACCTAGGATGAAGATCAAACTAGGACCGTTGGATTAAATCAAGATGGGTGGATGAGATTGAATCTTGTCACTTAACCAAAACGACGTAGTTTCAAGACATAACTACATCGTTTTAAGCTCTTCTTGGCAGCCCCCTTTTGGACCGGATTTGGGCTCTTTGGGCTCAAATTGTGGGCCAATTTTGGCACAATTTTAATTAAATTATACTAGCCCAATCTGTACCCCATNCTAGTGGAAGCATTTTGAAAAAGGTGGTGACTGAACCTTGCTTCTGAGGTTGCCTACATATCCTGGGCTATAAAGGAATTAGGTCAGTGTAGTTCTGAAAAACTTTGGTAGCTGGGACTACCGGACACTGGACTTAAGACAGTTGTTGCTGTTACTCTTACCGTTACTGCTTCTTACATCAAAAGAAAAAGAGAAGAGCACTACATATGTATGCAAATTAAGAGTACAAAAATTCCTATCCACGTGTCTTCTGGAGTCAAATCTTGATTTTTGACCTACTCGCTTGTGTTGATCTTAGATTGGATCTTAATTCTTTTGAAGAAAAGATTATGACTCAATCTCGATGGCTTGCTTTCTAGATCAGAATTTGAGAAGATGAATATCGAGAAGCTGGGCTGCTGACACATTATCAAAGCTAAACTCCGACTATCTTGTAATCGAAGCATTTCTTTCTTTGATGAGAAACTGAAACTGCAAGCTTTAATCGTCACTTGTGCTATACGACAGAGCCTGCAAAGCCATCAAAGACAAACAAAAACGAACAAAATTTTCTGCCGCAGTCTAGCACTAGAAAAATTTTGTGAGTTATTAGAGAAATCTGTAAATTATCTAATTTATTGAAAAGGCAGACAAAAACAGTAGTAAAAACTATCTAAAAAGGGATAAAATTTGGTAATGAATGATTGTATAACCAGGGATCGATACCACGTACTACTGAAAGAAAATGTAATCAGGGGCTGGTACCTTCTCTCACTAGAAGGAAATAGAATCGGGTGTTAGCACCATGTATTATTGATAAAGTGTTGAATCCTTCTGGGTGAAAAAAGGTTCGATCTGAGTTAAATTGTATTTAAACAACCTGAGCGAAGATTACTTCTACCTGGAACTACGAACTAGATCCCCCTAGGCGAAACGGTTCTACTTGGGTTAAGCTACGTAAAACACCCTAAGCGAAGAGTGCTTCTACCCGGAAATTATGAGCTAGATCCCCCTAGGCGTAACGGTTCTACCTGGGTTAAGCTATGTAAAATACCCTGAGCGAAGAGTACTTCTACCTGGAAACTATGAGCTGAATCCCCCTAGGCGAAACGGTTTTACCTGGGTTAAGCTACATAAAACGCCCTGAGTGAAGAGTACTTCTACCCGAAACTATGAGCTGGATCCCCTTACGCGAAATGGTACGACCTAGGTTAAGCTACGTAAAACCACCCTGAGCGAAGAGTACTTCTACCCGAAATTTATGAGCTGGATCCCCCTAGGCGAAACGGTTCTACCTGGAGTTAAGCTACGTAAAACACCCTGAGCGAAGAGTACTTCTACCCGAAAACTATGAGCTGGATCCCCCTAGACGAAACAGTTCTACCTGGGTTAAGCTACGTAAAACACCCTGAGCGAAGAGTACTTCTACCCGAAAACTATGAGCTGGATCCCCCTAGACGAAACAGTTCTACCTGGGTTAAGCTACGTAAAAACAACCTGAGCGAAGAGTACTTCTACCCGGAACTATGAGCTGTATCACCCTAGGCAAAATGGTTCTACCTGGGTTAAGCTATGTAAAACACCCTGAGCGAAGAGTACTTCTACCCGGAAACTATGAGTTGGATCCCCCTAGGCGAAACGGTTCTACCTGAGTTAAGCTTCAGAAATAGGAGGTGTGAACAATAGTGATGCATGCTGAAAATAAAAGAAAAATGGAGATTTTAAGGATCTTACGTTTGGTGACATTCGTTCACTTAGGACCGACATTCTGCACTATTTTGTTCCTGCTTTAAACAAATAAAAACTTATGAGATTTTAAAGTGGTGGTTGGTTTGTGGCCTTGATGCCCTGAGTAGCTTGATTCACGACCACTGCTGTCGACGAACCGATTCTATCAGCGTGGTACCAAGATGTTATGCCGCTCTGTATCATTTTCTAGAGACCTTGGCTTTGCAATGTTGCCCCCAACTATTTCATACCCAGATGTCCATGGTACCGCTATCCTTGTCTCTAAGGCAATGCATTTTTCTCTAAAATCAAACTCAGTTGTCTTACCCCAGTATCAGTTTGTGTCCGTAGTGCTCATCAACTTTTCTCATAAAGCAGGTCTTGCTTAGGCGACCTTTTTAGCTCTTTTTTTCTGAGACACTTTGTTTGTCTTATCGAATGAGATCAGAGATGGATTCGTGCCTTCGTCAATGCCATATATGCCCCAAATTGTGCTCGACATTACGGGGAAGCTGTAGCCAGTTTTGCAGCCCTTTTTTTCTTCGATTTTAATGCAGGATTAGACCGAAGGGGACTCAAAGAAAAATTATGGGTAAAAACAGAATAATAATTGGAAGCGAAAAAGAACTGTGCTTAAACAAAAGGTGTCCCTTTCGGGGAAAGGAATAAGGAGACTTATCTGGAGGTATATGCCGACTTTAATGAATCATGACATGCATTTTGGACTGGATGCCTGATCTGTCTGAACCGTCCGACTCTTAGAAATTCATCACAATGTTTTCCTCAAAATCGTGAAACCTTGCCAGGACTCCTTCGATGCCGATGGCTGTGAGGATCCTCTTTTCGATCAGGGGCGCCCTTTGCGGGTTTTCACGAGCTGACCTCTCTTATTTTTCTCCTCGCCTTATAGTGCTCTTTATGAGTTTTCACTAACAAGACTCTTTTATTTTTCATTTCTCTTCTTACCATCGCCTTATGGTGCCCGTGTGAGTTTTCACCAATAAGACTCTCTCATTTTATTTCTCTCATTGCATCGGATCCAAGTAGTCGTATTCTCTGATCCTTGAACATTCTCACCGATTGATCGGAAGGACTTGAAAGGATTTGGGTAAAAATGATTTGGATCGAATTACAACTTTGGAACCATTCAGGCGGGATCATCGCAAGACCATTACAACATCTGCCCCAGTTTCACTTTTGGGGGAATTTGGATTTTTATTTTGGTGTGACTGAACCCCAGAGAGAGGTTGCCTTCGCATCCTTTCGGAATCAAGTCGAATGTAGTTCAGGGAACTTTTTTTTCTTTCATTTTTCTGTTTTGTTTTGTTTGCTCTTTCTTTGTCTTTTCTTCCTCTTTTTTTGTAAATTTTTTTCATTTTCTTCTTTTTTTTTCATTTTATTTTTCAATAACACTTTCAGGTTCCAAAGAGGGTGATCAAAGAATGGGAGCCGGCTCGAAGGGTTTGCAAAGGGTTGATAGTGTTTGGTTAGCGAGAATAAAAGTCTTCGTCATCCCAATTGGAGAATATTAGTACTATATGGAGGATCCAACATAATACCTTTTGACTGCATTTGCATTGACAGTTATTTCAGGGACATTTCCTTCGATGTGTCCTAAGTGCAATGCACTCTTTTGGTAGTACTCTTGTTGCAATGTACGGACCTTTCCAATCTGGGAACCAATTTTCCTTAAGTTGTTTCAACTCTTTGTTTTATTTCCTTAAACTTTTTCTTCATTGCGATCTAATCCTTGATTCATTATTTCGAGTCCTGACAGCTTTCAGGATCTGGGCATGAAGTCCCCAAGCATGTCATGTTATTGAAATCTACATTTAACAAAACTAAAAAGAGAATAAGAAAGAAAAATGACAAGATTAAGAAAAGAGACATTCCTGGAAAATAAAATATTAATTTCATTTGATTTTTTGATTTTTGATTTTTTTTTCAATTTTTTGAAGATAGAAGGGTTTGCATCAGAAAGTAAGACAATAAGGTAAAACATCCGGATCACACCCTGAGATAATCCGGATGCAGAAAGGATAACAAGACTGGCCACTAAGACTCCCGTTTGATGGGGAACTTTCATGCTTGGCGACCATTTTTGGCTTTTCTTCTATCTCGGCAAAGGATGCAATGGCCTTCGGTGCCGAATCAAATTCCTCATCTTCACAAATCATTCTGACCATTGGCCCAATGTTGTGGGCAGGCAACAGATTGTTCATCACATCAGAAGCTTCTTCATCCCGAAAAACGATTCTTTCAGTTTCAGTCAAATCTTCAACTACCCTTTTGAGGGTCCAACGGTCCTCTGTACTATGTCCCACTGCTCTAGAGTGGTATTCACATCTAGCCTCAGCTCGGTGCGAGGGGGACTCGGGGTTCGGCCATTTCGGGGCCACTGACTGCAATAGATCTAGCCTGATTAGCTTTTGGAACAAGCTTGAATACGATTCACCAATAGGGGTGAACTGATTCTTTCTGAAAGGCTCTCTTAGGCGAGGATTGTATCGGATATCATTTAGTTGGGGATTATATGGAGCTGGGTAAGGATGTGCATTTCTGGGAGGTGGAGCTCAGTTTTGTGTATAATGTTGTGGCCGCGTGCAAGGTTGCACGTTCATCACTGCATACCAACAAAACCAACCACCTGAACAGAACCTGACTAATTTGCACACACCACAACCTCGTTAGTTTTGAGACATTTAACACATAGGAAATCGCACGTTGGGGATGCAATGCACCTAATAGTTAAACATTTCTACCATGTGTTT